CAGCAACGTTTCCAGTGTCTCGATTCCAGCGAGATATGGCACCCTATCGCGCGTTTCCCCTTCCCTTCTCGCCCCCCTCGTTTACTTGTCTTTAATTATTGATTAATCGTATAAAAAAAAAAATCATTCGCTGTACATTTCGCGTATCCGATAATCGAAAGCGAGGCTGTGCAAACAAAAGGTCTAACGATTTTGCGTAATAACAACTGTTATTCTTTTGTGTCTGAAAAATACCGCTACTCCCTCGTTTCCCCTTCTCTCCTCGCCCCCTCGCTTCGATTTTACTTGTCGTTAATTATTGATTAATCGTATAAAAAAAAATCATTCGCTGTACATTTCGCGTATCCGATAATCGAAAGCGAGGCTGTGCAAACAAAAGGTCTAACGATTTTGCGTAATAACAACTGTTATTCTTTTGCGTTTGAAAAATACCGCTACCCCCTCGCCCTTCTCTCCTCTTGTCTCTCGACGAGAGAAGGCGTATGACACGAGACAAAGGTGTACAAATTTGGTACCTGAAAAGAGTTTCCGTTGGTTCCAGGTTCGCGGAACGCAGTCAAGCTGGCTGCCTCCGGCGGTAACCCCGCCGCTGCCGTCGCCGCATCCGCGCATCCTCCCGTGCTTTGGAGCTCCCGCAGGAAACCGGGTAAGTCCTTTATTCCTTTTCATGCACGTCCATTGACGACTTCCATCGGCGATGTCGCTTCTTTCTTAACGCGTCAACGGACACGCGTTTATCTGACAGTCGGGCGAAGTGCTTGCCGGAGCGAGCGTAAATAAAACGGAGAATAAAATTGAATTGGAATTCCGACAAAAGGCAGTCGTTAAGCGGCCTCCAGTGGCCACTTCGCCGCGAAATCATATTGGATTATAATGTCAGAAGCGAGAAATCGCATGAATTTTTTTTTTCTCGCGCCGTTCGTCGAAATAAATTAGCTCTTTTTCTGCACGTTACGACATTCGATATAGAATAGATTTGTGAAATTCTCACCTTTCGATTCGTAGATTAACAGGTGACCGTAAATTTTGATCGACAGGATCGCGAGATTATTTTATATTGTAAAATAAATTATATATCGTTTTATGTATCGTTTAACACGCGCCACATTTCATCTTCTTTTTTGCTAGGATCATGGTATTTTCAAAGCGAGGTAAAACTTGTGAATTATCCTATATGTATACAGGGTTTTTTTAAGGAGTGCGAAAGATTTTAGGGGATGTTTCTTTGTCGAAAATTGAGATGGATTTTTCATGTAAACATATACTCCTATATCCCTGTGAAGTTACACTCCTCCAAAAATAGGAGTAAAAATTAGGTTTTTATTTTTTAAGTTTTTATTATAATTTTGTTTTTGTTTCAATTTTTCCGACATTTACCCTAATTTTATTTTTTGTAATCTCGAAACTTATGTTATATAGCATCGTGCTGTGCACGGCAACATATTTTATTTTTTTTCTTGAAAACTACTAATTTTAAAATAAAAAGAAAAAAATAAAAGAAATAAAAAAGTTTCTAAATAAATTAAACTTTTTAATACATATTTTTAGATGATCATATTCCGGCCCACTAAAAAGTTGTAATAAAAAATTGAATAAGGATTGGTAGTTTTCATCCCCTTGTAACAATAGAGGAGGCTGAAAAAAATATTAATAAATAACCTTTTTACTAGTAGAAAATATCCACCTAATTTCATTTCTTTAACTTGTTTCAAATTTGAGAAAAAAATAAAAACTTAATTTTTACCCCCATTTTTGGAGGACTATATGTTTATATGAAAAATCCCTCTTAATTTTCGACAAAGAATCATTTCCTAAAATTTTTACTTATTAAGAAACACTCTGTATATGGTGTGTACCGACACGCGTATATGAACGCATATGGATCATGAAATTAGCCTGGAGGTCAATTTCAGTGCGACAAGCTAATTCGATACGAGTCGCATGCTCGTTTGACCCAGACTCATTGACCCGTCTAATCCTGAATCTTCACCGCGGCTTTCTCTCTTTCCTTTTTATGTTCATCTCCCCAACGAATAACGTCGTTTAATAAGTAACGCTTACGACCTTCCTCATTATTTCATTACTTCTGACAAATCTCTGCCTGCTTTGTTAACGTTTTAAATAGTCTTTGTATCATCTTTTATTAGTCGGCACGGCATCAAGTTCCACTTTTGATTAAAAGCTTCTTTCAACGTCCGCCGAGCAATCCGATCCATTCTACTTCATTATTCTCATGGTTGGCAGTCGCTACGTCTTTACGCGGTGCGGAAAGTCTACGCCAACGGATACGTCAATTAGGATGCCGCTAATTTACGAAGGCTGCGGCTTTCCGCTCTCGCAAATGTAGAAGCCTGACGTGTTTCAGACGGAACACGCAGCGGATGGGAGAAGAGATGAAAGAATCTCAAGTGAAGAGACAATCTGTCTCTTCGCTCGTGACAGGTAGGACAAGATAGGGATTATTATCATAAGAATTGATCGAGAGCGTGTTAATATCGAGAAAAGCACGAGCTCGGATAACGTGGATAACGGTCTTCACATCGATAAGGTTTACAATGCTATCTACAGTATATCGTCTAAGGATCACCTAAGTTAATGCATTATTTCCAAAAAGCAATAAAAACTCTCTCGCCCAAGGAAGAATACGTATCGAAATTTCAAGAAATAAATTACCATAATACATGCGGAGGGAAAAAATTGATAGGGGAAAGACCTGGTGCGAAGGAGAAAATCAATCTTTCAGGAATGCGCGATAATCGCGTAAAAATATTTGCATTAATTATGACTTAAGATAATGATCACGCAATAATGTTAGTCAATCTTAATACGTCTAGAAATCGTTTTTTTTTTCATTGAACCGCGGTATGCCATTACTGAATTATCGGAGAAATAAACGATATAAATGGAAAAAGAAAAAAACGACGCGATGATTTACCAGAGTATCCTGTTCCTTGCAAAAATATGGAAAATCTGAAATTTTTGGAAAAATTCGAGAATTCTCATGAAATTTTATTAGGACTTTAGAATTTTGTGAAAAATGTTCTCTTTGATGATTTTTCTCTCGTATTATAAACAGTCGACAGCAAAGTGAATTATGTGTTTATGAAATATACTATAAATAAATATCTTTGTATTTACATGTTTAATGTTTTTTTTTTAGCAAAATATCGCAGTATATATTTTTTTGTAATTTTTAGCGATAAAAAAATAAAAATGTAATACAAGTGAAAAACGTTCATCTTACGCAGTTTTCTTCAGTATATTTACAAATCTAGCACTTGAAATTTAAGATGCTCCATGTTTTTCTTTCACACGAGTGAAAAATATTAAAGACACGGAAAAATATAAAAGAATTTATTGTAGAAAATCGTATTAAAAAATTTTGTTAAGTTATTTTTATCTGAAATTTTAAACAAAAATATCTGGAAGAGCTCGGGGAATTTTTTTACAAGATTCGAATAGACAACTCGATGTGTTTACCGATGTCGGGAGTGCATATTCCTCGGCGGAATCTCGAAGCGCGGTTAAAGGAAGAGAGAGTCGCGATCGTTGCTCTCGCGAAACGTATCATCCGCGGAGGAGAAATCCGTCCGTTCGCGAGCAGCCTGTTGGGGACTGTAATAACGCGCGGAATCTCCGCGCGGAAGAAATATTTCGAGATGAACCGACCCGCCCGCCGATAACGAATTACTTAACAATAAGTGCAGTCAAAGTGTGACAAAACATTCGTGGTTGCAAGACGATGGACGGATGTCGCGGCGCGTGAGTTTCCTCCTCTCGAAGAGTCCTCGCTCTCTCGCCTCGGCTCTGCTGACGCGCCAAACTCACGCCGAGCCTTATCTCGATATATACCGTGCGATACCACGAACGCTACCTCATCAGTTGCATAATTCGACGCGACACACATGTACGTATGTACATAATACGTGCATCGGCACGGCGCGCTCACGCGTGCTTATCGCACGCAAGTTTGCGGAGTGACGGAGAGGAGAAACGTCTCTCCCCATCTCTCTTCTAAGCTGTCTCTCGGTTTAAGGATGATTTTTTTCTCTCTCTCCACCTGAAACCTCGCGAACAGCGAATAATTTACAAGTTTTTTTTTCTTACGGGTCCCTCTTTCGATCCGTTCACGCGAATGTCGCGTGGAGAAAAAAAAAACCTGATTTATTTCGACGTCTCGCTGGCGTAAGAAAAAGATTTATGTACAATTTTTCACGTCTGACGTTGTAATTTAATATGGCTGCGATGAATGATGGGTCTTGAAGGGTTAAAAATGAAATGCAGTCATAACGCGAACGCGTTATCCGAAAACGTCGAGTCTTGGATAAATCTATCCGCATCTGTTCTGCCTTCCGAACGAAGGAAGACGACTACTCGCTTTATAACAACGAGGTCTTGGCTGCTATGGACGTTTTAGTTCTCCCTCTCGCTCTCCTCCTCCTCTCTCTCTCTCTCTCTCTCTCTCTCTCTCTCTCTCTCTCTCTTTCTCTCCTGCCCCCCGTTCCTCACCTTCCTCTCCCTCCTTCTATCTGGTGACGCGTGCACGGGTACACGCATTCGTACACGCGCGTACTTATCGCACGAATGTGACGATGCGAGCTAGTATTATGTACAATGGAGAGCGAGATAAAAAAAAGTGTATTTATCTCCCATGTCAGCTCATTGGAGATCGGCAAAAATTCTTCTCCCCGCGAATAATCATCTCGTGCTGCGTGCGGTAATTTTCGTTCGTCACATGTCGTACACCGATGCGGTTCGTGTTTCTCCGATAACTGCAACATCTCGTCCTCCGATTACGGTCGATAATTTGATTTACCCTGCATATAAAATACTGCACGGTGCAAAGCAGTGTTAATCGGAATTAGAAACTTTGTCTCCTTCCCTCTCTCCCACCCCCCCTCTCTCTCTCTCTCCTTCTTTCTTCCCCCTCTTTGGGTCCCCAGCGTCACATCGCGCCGCACGACTCGGCTGAACCCAACTCGACTCCACTCGATCAGGTTCGTAACAGTCGCTCGTAAACTTGCGTGCGGTTCACGTGCGTTCTTGATGTATCGAGGACGAGCGTCTCGTAACTCGCGAAGCAGCGAATTTTGCCGTGGGATCGTTGGCTCTTTCCAAAACTTGCTCGATAATGTGATTTTCCTGATGAAGAAAAAGAAGTGATGCACATGGATGAAACGGAGCGATGAAACTCCATTTTTCGCGCAACGATGTTTGGTCGAATTTAGAAACATCGATGGCCCGTCGTCGAGTGTCGATTGCGTGGCATTAAACAAAGAAAAAAGAAGAAGAAACAGTAGTGCGGAATCTCACGATATCGTATCGAATTCTAATAAACATCGTCTTGAGTATCGTGGAATCTTACGCGATTGCAGCAGTGTGCTTTTTTCGCGATCACTTCGAGTTCTTCTGTTTCTATTCTCGAGGCACCTCGTTAGAAAATAGTCTCCTCCGGAGACTATTGCGCGGATCGTGACAGATTCAGTTTTTGCCTCTTTTCCATGTCGGTTTCCTTGGATCGCAAACGGAGTCATCGGATAACTCGTGTATCGGGGCGCGATAAGATGTGACCGGGGCGGGTGTGCCATGATCGGTGGTTTCTCGGAGCGAATTTATCGTATCTGGGCGGCTGCGGATGATCGGTTCTTCATCATCAGCTCTCAAGAATCCTCGCTCCGGTCGGCCACGTGTCGGGTGTTATCGGACAGAATTCGCACGTAGGGAGCCGATTATGCGAACGAGTTCATTCATCGTGCGGATTCCAGCTCGCCGGAAGTGACGACGACTTCCTCGCTTCCTCGCTCGTGGTGGTGCGCGTACATACGCGCGTACACGCACGCGGTGCGTTGCGCCAGTCGAGAGTGCATCGTGCAACAAACACACACGTCCTCGTACTCGTCCACACGCGCGTGACACATACGGACACGTGCGCGCGCGCGCTCGCTGACCTAGAGGAAGCGAAAGGAGAAGAAAGAGAGGATGTCGACTCGCCGCCGAGCGACCGCGACCGCGTCGTGCGACGAGATGCAGCGTCCTGTTGTCGGTCGACGGTCAGTGGCTCTTTGAAGGTTTCGTCTTATCGACGATGGACAGGATCGGTCGAGCGGACGTCTGCACGGGAGAAGTCGCGCTTCGTGTCGTTGTTATTGTTGTTCCCCGACGCCGCGGTAGCCAGCAGCACGATTATGCAGCTGAAGAAAGCGATGCTTAAGATATTGGATCAATGTAAGTTCATCTCGAGGCGAATACGCGAACGCGCTCCGCGCTAATAATAATAATTTCCTTTCGTCATCGCTAACGAATCTCCCCCCTCTCTCTGTCCCTTTGGTTCACCTATAATCTCGCATGTGCAAAATTAGCTTGAAAGTCGCCACCGCTGGCAGGCCCGATGCGAGGCTGGATGCGTGCATGTTTCTCGTCCAACGATGAGACGCGCGTGCAACGTGATTCCGTCGTGATTCGTGCGTAACATGGGCTCCCATTAAAGACCCCTAGACCGTAATAGCGTAATAGCGTAGGGCGCGCAGGTCGGATTCAATCGTAAGATATTGACGAAAATGTTATAACCTCGCCCATACTTGCGATAACTTGGCGTTGTTTACGTACATCCGGAGGGGAGATGGGTATCGCTTTTTAAATGTAGGTCTCATTAACCTTTTCGTCGTTGCATCGTTAATGTGGACACGCGTTCGAGGCGAGGTATCTTGCTTTCTGGAAGAAAAGAACGAGTTTTGTAGTTACAAAGAAATTTGGTAGTATATTTCCTATATAAATATATTTATAAGGTACATATCAATACAATACAATAAGTAATATGTGCGTGTCAAAGTTGAGCCGTTTCGTTTCTCCTTCTCGTTATCGTTCTCGACGATCCGGCGTCTTATCTCTTTTAAACGTAAAATATTAGGAATTATAATATATGTATAATATATACCTGACGGGTAAAAGTGGAAAAAGTCAAATAATCTTGTGGAATGAAAAGTTGGTAATTAAAGAACAGCCAGAACGAGGGAACGAGGAATAAATTTCACGTCCCTCTTTCTTTTTGACTACTTTTTGACGCTCTTGCTTGACTAGCTGTAATTAAACTTTATTAAACATCCCCTGGGCACATCCCTGCAAAGGTCAGGCCATATTGCTTCGAATACGCATCGTTACCGATTTTCGCGCGCGAATAAATGCTAATGTCGCGATAAGATTTACAGTTAACGATAAGCGCGCCTTATCTCCGGCAAGAGAGCTGCGTAACCTTTGAATTTAAAGTGGAATTTCCATCGCGACGAGATACGTGCACTTTTGCGCGCCGATCCGATTCCGATATCGCGATTTATCGGCTGTTTCAGATTGTTTATTTACGCATTTGACGATTGCGTCAACAACTCCCGTTATCCAAAGGAATGACAACAATGGTCAATCAATGTGTCATCGATCGGCCAAATCTTTTATTCATATTTTACACAGAAAAGAAACAAATAAAGGAAGATACTTCGAGTCGTGGGAATCGAACTGTATACCATTGTTTAGAAATTTTCTTCGATTCCTGAAACACGTCCAATTATCTTAATGCTTAAAAAATTTCGCGTTTCGGAATAATAATTTTCGCACAATCGAAAAGGATGCGAAGGACGGAAGATGCGATCGAGATGATCTTTGATTTTCGTTTTCCAAACACACGCAACTAACGTGAGAGTGCGTGGTTGCGATACCGCTATACATACTTATTGCAAGAGCAGTCGTACAAGACGAATAACGACGACGCTTATTTGCATTGGCCAAGGTAACTGGCGCTATTTCGTTGCGTAACTTGCGGATTACAAGAAACATCGTCGGTTCCTCGATGACGCGCGCGGTTTCCGAGCAATTTTCTCAAAGTGTCACGAGAGCATTGCTCTTTGCCTTATCCTCTTCCTTCCAGGTGATTTGTGCGATTTAAATAAATTTCTTTTTATCGGAAATAATCGTCACACTTGGTTTCGAGACTTCCTTTCACGCAGTCTTCTCTTCCATGACGTACAAGATGACTTTGCATAACGGGTGACTCTTTCACGTACGATATCGATGATCAAGGATATCGAGAGAAAAGAGGGAAAAAAGCGTAACGCTCTAAACCGATTGCGAGATATATAGATACATAGACTCGTTGATGGTTTCGTGTGGGCTACGAATCTCAATGCAATGACGACGTGACGATACGCACGCGTGCGCACGTGTTGGTCGGGTTTAATATAGCTGCGTGTGCCGCCGTGTCTTGCGTCGCTTACTTAGACATTTACCTCGTCGCATGCCGAAAGTGGAGCTCGATCACGAGCTTCCTCTTTTCCTTGGAATTGTAGCTGACTGCTGCGAAGAATTCCGTCTTCTTTTTCCAGAGTCGATTTCAGTTTCCTCATCATAATGCCGCTGCGCCACTCGAATGTCAAACTCCTGCCAGACATTTATATTTTAAATATACAATAGTTTATGTTATTTATTTCATAATTATTTCATCGCTTTATTATTCAAGAGATCTTGTGAAATTAGAATTTTATTTTGTAATCTTTCGGATTTAATTACACAGAAAAAAAAGGACATTCTTATTTTGAAGATATATTTAGTTTGAATATGGAAATCTTGAAATGAGATTATATTACGATTATATTAATTAAAGAAAAATATAATTGCTTGAATGAAGCCATTTTATATAGGTTAATTAAGAAAGATATATTCTTATGATTTAAGATTTAATTTTCTTGAATGGAAAAGAAACAAGTTAGATAGAAAATTACATTTTTAAATCAAAGATTATAATTTTCTAAAAGTAGAATTAAATAATTATATATTTTTGAGGTGATAATTACAATATTAAAACAAGATATAATATTGTTAAAATATTGTTACAATTTAAATTATTAAATCCTTCTAAGAAGATTATAAATTGTTGCGTATAGATTTGACTTTTTTTTCTGTGTATACGATGATTTTTTTAAATCTCTGTCTTAAACGTATTAGAAATTCGATAATCTTTGCGAGAGAAGTTATATCGAAATTCTGAAAGTAGAATTTATATTATCCTTGCAGAAATAACGGTAATCTCGGATGGAATTGAGTCTTAAAAGAAATCTCAAAATGTATCGCGATCTAAGCGGATCATCTAGAATATTAATCATAGATTTACACAAAAGTTCCATCGCAGTGTACATTGGCTTTAAAAGATGAGATTGATCCCTCTTGAAAATTGCGAACCGGAAATGTTCCGGTTATTTGCGTGACACGTATTCAGAAATTGAACAACGTGGGCAGATCACATGATTAGAATAATCGCCCACGCAGCGATAGCAACGAGACTACTAATTTCGCTGCATATTAGTAATATGCCAAAGGTTCGAGTGAAACAAGGAATGATAAAATGAGATTGCGAATCGATTTTCTTTGTTTTTGTGCACGGATTTGAAAGGAAACGGTAGCATTGAACTTGACGGCAGTGACGATCAAGTACGCAGACTTGGCGGGTGGAGGGAGAAGAGAGTCTGTGATGCTGTCAGAAAACGAAGAACCGGCGACCGGTCTGAGAGCAGGTTTCAACGGCCTTCTTGGTGTACGTACATTTGAACGCGAACGCGGCGGAATCGACGCCTGGGCCAAAAGACGATAAATCCTTTTTTCGTCCTTCCATCTTTCGAGTCCTTCGACCTTGCCGCGATCTCAGTTACATGGAACGTTTCAGTGGCTTCCGGTTTCTGAGAACCTGGCCCGTCCGTAGCGTTTGCGTCATCGGTTCTAAGAATCCATGTCAAATTTTGTCTCCCCAGGCTTCTATTCAGCTCTTGACACAAAGCATCAAATTACGTCGATCGATTCGCACGAAAAAACAGCGAGAGATCTTCCGACAATTTTCAGTCCTTCCATCTTGTCGTATGTAAATCTCGACGAGATTTATGATTCTTAGAAAGTGATTTAGCGGTTTGTAGCCGACTCGACTTTCCGCTTTCCTGAAAAATAACATGTACACATGAACGACTGGCTACCACGAAGTCGTTTTTTTTATCGCACATTTATATTTACAATTTCCAACCAGATGCCAAAATGATTTGAGCAATACATATCGGAAATTTCTCAAAAGATTCTACAGCCGATATAATTTCCAAATTAATCGATGTCTTCTATTCGCGTGCTTTATCTCCCTAAAGTCTTATTTCGTAAAATTTCCTTATTAGATCAGTCGCGACACGCATTATATTCGTAATCTATAATTTCGGAAACATTTCTATAATGAACGAGGAACGACGATCGGTTGATCGACCAGCGGCTGGTCGAGTAAAGTGAGACCGCGGCCAGATCGGTGGCGAGCAGATAGGTCAGCTTGGCGCCATCGGGCCGAGGCGAAGGCGCGTGAAGGCCGGTCGGTCGGTTTCTCAGCTTTCCGAGCCGTCGTTTGCTACAAGCGCGCCAAACACCAGCGTGTTCGCCTTTTGTATAACTGTGTCTCTCGTACCCTGTCGCACGTCGGACCGTCGTCCACGTATCTGAAAGACGAAATATAATATTTATTTTCGAGAGATCTGCGAAAGAAGAACCGAAAATACGTTATTTATCATATATTTATTTATTGGGACCCATCCAATTTCCAATGCCATGATTATGAGAGATCTGACAGTGATTTAAAGCACCCGGATGAATCATGCTGAATTTTAAAGGCATCGAGAAGAATCAGGTTGCGCTCGACAACAATGGAATTGAACAGTTCCGTAAAATTAGCATTTATTTTTTTCGGGGATTTCAATCAGTTAGCGAAAATGTTTACGAATGTCTATAGGTGACGAGTGACTCGTTATCGGAGCAACTTTGCCGCATAGATAACTTCATCGAACTTTAAATGCGCATGATTATCAGCTGACTTGTAAGCTTTAATTTCAGTTGTTTGGCTTCTACTATCTTCCAGTAACATATCCAGTAGTTATCGTTCTTTATTACATGTATGTGTGCATGTGTCATCGACGAATGGCGAAAGCAATGACGTTCACGAGGACTCGTTAAACCTAAAGTGTATTCATTATAATCGCGATCGTCCAACATAAAGAATATTTATCATAGACGCGTATGGAGATACGGAAGCTGAGCAAAGCTTTACGTTATCTTTTGTTTTCTTTTTTTGTTTTTTATTCGGTGCGATTATTTTATTTACTTTGCTTGTTTGGTTTTTCATGGCATTCACACGTAGGATATCCTTGAATGGATTTCCTCTGAGTTCCGTGGATTCTAAACAAATTTATAAATCGATCTTTTCATAAAAAGATAGTAAAATTATATTTTTCAATTAGAACTTTACTTTGACAGAATTTCCATTTGAAATTTAATTACGTAAAAATGTACGAAAAAAAGTTATGATAAATTATGATCTCTTGTTTATTTTCGTGACGGAGAAATTTATTCAAATTTGGGAAAAGAATTCGTAGATTAAATGACGCGCGCTTTAGAAGAAATACCTCGTGAATTTTAAGATTCATGTCGCGCACGTAGTGGCTCGTCCATACAATCCGTAACTTACTTAACTAGACTATCGATATTCAGCGCGCGTTTAAGAATCGAATAGTTTGAAATTGCCAGTAACATCAGAGAGGAAGAAAAAGAGACAAGCACGGAAACAGAACAGCGGCCCACCCACGTGTGTCATGCTGCTTGTACGCGCAAAATATCATCAATCGAACATTGTTTAGATCTAATTTATCAGAAATTACATTTTTCCAACGCGAGACAATTTATAAAATAATATTCAGGTGGGAAAATGTATAATTCAAACTGATTTAACTCGTACAACATTATCAATTACATTAGCAACATTACAATTCCGCAAATTACAGCGATAGAAGAATTGAATATTGTGATAAAATTGCAGCTACATTGCATAACATATTTGTCTTGTTACAACCTTGCGATGACAAGTTTCCTCGTTTTTTTCGCGTTGTATGGAAATAAGAAAACTTGAAGGAAAAACTAATATGTATATAAACAGTCTCGTAGCGCGGTAGAAAATCTCGTAAACGGGTAGAAAACGATTCTACTTTGGAATAAATAATAAATTCGAAAATAAATAAAACAATAAGATCTCGCTGATCCTTTTATCCTTTTCAGCTGGGTCCGTGATCTGTCAGTTACGGAGCCCTCCATTATACCGTGTCGCCGAGAAAGCTAATAATTTCGCGCGATTACTCCGCTATAGCCGATTATCGTGGCGACATCCGTACATGTATACGACATCAGCCGGTAGTTGATAATCGACATTCGAATGAGCAGGACCAATGTGACATGCGGTAACTCACCCGTGAAGAGAACGCGCGCTCTCATCTCGTCTCGTCTCGTCTCGTAGGAAATTTACCCGGTATAATCCGTATCGTGTTTTTCCACGGGGATTTCGTTTACATTTGGTCGCCAGACCACTCTTCGTTTCTCCTCTTCGGTCTCCCGACTTTTCCACATGGACTTTAAAAAGATATATCGATTAGGATGTACTAAAATGAGTATTTTTTTACAAGGTATTTTATTTCATATTGAATATCATGATATATCGAGATGTAAAATGTGAAATAATAGCCTTCACTTTGTCTTTGCATCCTCTTAATACGTTTTAATCCCGCACGAGAGGAATCTATTTATATAAGAGAATCATGCTCGTTAAGAGGAAACGTCGATCGTAAAATTTCAAAAAAAAAATTGCGACCTTGGAAAAAGAATTTCTATTGACAATAAGCATCCGTTTTCTCAAAACAATTTCTCTACGAAACACATTTCCGTATTGTCAAAAAATCATCAGACGATGTTCGGAGACATAATCACGAGAGATCGCGTATATAATTAATTATTTTTATATGAAATTACCGTAGATATGAAATCGATGATCAATGGGAATATTCCCAGGAAGTAATCGAGGGAAAATTTGACTTCGATCGAACCAGGAATATAGGATGATAAAATCGATGCGAGAGACTCTTCGATAAACGCGAATAAAATACACATTAATCTTACACTTTGGACACACATGACGCGCCTTACCTTTGCACCAAGTCGAACGGGGAGCGGAGAAGTGCGAGGTGACGATGACGTTACTATGTGGTTTTCCTTTGATGTGCAATATCCGCTCTCACAGCCGTATGCGGTGTGTTGTGTCGCGAGCGCGATGCGCGTACACACATGACGGAATCGCTATGTCGAGAAAACGTGGTGCGCGAATGTAAACGTTGCCTCCACGCCAGAAAAAAATGACATTCTTGTTTTGAAAATATATTTAGTTTTAGCATGAAAATCTTGAAATGAGATTATTATAGTGCGTTAATTCAAGAAAAATATAATTGCTTGAATAACTGCTTACTTGAATGAAGCCATTTTACATAGTTCAATCGAGAAAAATATATTCTTATTAAAGATTTAAGATTTAATTTTCTCGAATGGAAAAGAAATAATGTTAGATAGAAAATAACATTTTTAAATCAAAGATTATAATTTTCTTAAAGTAGAATTAAATAATTATATATTCTTGAGATGACAATTACAATATTAAAATAAGACTATAATATTGTTGAAATTTATAATTATAATTTATAATTAAATTCTTCTTTTGAAGAAGATTATAAATTGTTGCGTATATACGAAATTATGAACGCGTTAGCTTAGGTATATAAGTTTTGACTTGACATTTATTTTTTTTCTGTGTCGAAATGTGTTTGAAAGAAAAAAAAATGCATCTCCCCCTCGCGATTCTCTTAGATCTATCCGCTTGAAGGAATGTAATTACAATCGTAAGATCTCCGGATAAAGTTAGCATTCTATTAAAACTTTGTTATAATTGATATAACTCTTCTCCCGAGTATTTTCAAATTCTCGAAACGTTCTCGGAACGAGTGAGTACTGAAGCGAGAAATTAAATTGCCAACTTAGAATACGGAGATAATTGCAAAAGTCGACGCGAGAAACGAAAACGTTCTTGACTAATGACGACAACCAATTATTAATATAACCAATTATTATAAAAATACAGGCCTGCACTTGCGGAGCATCGAGGAGCCGAGGATGACGGCGGAAACGGCGGCTCCCTGCGTCCAGGGAGTGCAAGGAGCACAGGGCAGCGTGGCCAACCAGAATGTGTTGCAACAGGTGCAGGATGGAAGCGGCGGCAGTGGTGGCGGCGGTGCTTATTATTCCTCGACATCGACAGTGTATGATCCAGAGTACGCTCGCATGGAAGCATGGCTCGACGAGCATCCCGACTTCGTCAATGACTACTTTCTACGGTATTATTCTCCTTCAATTGGCAGTTCTGACAAAAATTCGCCCCAGAAAGCGCTCGTTATTTGAATTTCAAATAATATATATATATTTTCGTGTCAAATGTAGCGTATTTTCCATCTGAAAGACTACTGATCCCTCGAGATCATTAAATCTTCTCGCTCGTCATGTTTGTTAAATAACAAATAAAAAACTTTACTGTATAATATTAACATTTATTATTTAGGCTGCGGTTCAATAGAAGCCCTACCTTGTGACGTCATACCTACGTCGCCCACCCCCGCAACATCCCTCTGAAAGTATTTGGAGCGTTCAGAGAATGTTATAGCGTTATCTGGACCGCGGCATCTTCTAATCATTGTTTTTTTTTTTTTTTTATGTTGTATGCTTTGTTCTTCTTTTCGTAGGTATTATTGACTTTTTTCTTCTTGCGGTAAGCTAATGGTAGCGACAACAAGACGTAAGTGTTTATGTCCGTCGTAATTATAAACGTAAAGTAAAATAAAGAAAAATATATACGTAAGATATGAATTTGAGCATATGAATTTTTCTCTGCCTTATTTTACGTCCACGATTGGGACAGATGTAGGTGCTTACGTCTCGCTTACATATAAATTTTTTTTGCCATCTTTGACCTATATTTTAGCTCTTAAGTATTCCTAGAAACTGCTATTATTAGATTATTTTTATTGCTTTTGTCTTTTCATTCATCAGGAAGGTAACACGGCAGACTGTAGATTTGTGGCTAGTATCACACGCGACGCCAACCTCTTCGTCCAGCAGTTGCATAGAACTCTCGAGCCCGACTCACGGTGGTAATTCGTCATCCGGACGTGCTGGTGGTGGTGGTGCCGGAGGTTCTGGAGCTACGACACCCGTCCGTAAAATTTCGGCGCACGAGTTCGAACGAGGCGGCCTTTTAAAACCGATCGTTAACACAATCGACGGGACGCCGACGTTTTTGAGTGTATCACCAGGTGATATGGGTCAAGCAGGTAGTACCCAGGTCGGGTCCGGTAACTCGAATCGACCGCAAAGACGATCCCGACACGAACTCCGGCATTTAGACGAGAAAGACCTTATTTTTGAATTGGTAGGTACTGCGACGCGCGGAAACGCCGACCTTGTCTACCCCCTAAGGGCTTCAGCCCTTAAGAGCTTATAAGTTTCTATCCTTCAGAATTTTATTTTATCAATTATTAATGAATTTAGCATTAATAAATATTAATATTTTTATTAATATTATAATTTATATTAATATAAAAAGAAAAAATATTCAATTAATACAGTGTAAGATAAAATCTAAATAAAAAGGAAAATTTAGGCAAGAACACCACATAGCATTGGAAACATTTTGATCTATTTCAGATCCTTCTCATTGCTAATAATACAAAAAAATATAATGATACAAATATGAAAAGGAAACAGGTCGTTCATAAGTAATAATGTACATACATTCAAAGTGTGATAAAAGGTCAACATTTTAATGGTATTCCAGATCCTTTTCAAGGCTAATACAATACCAAAAAAAAAAAAAAAAAAAAAAAAAAAAAAAAAAAAAAAAAAAAAAAAAAATTAGACAGGTTCCTCTCAGATGTGGTCAAACATTGACATCTGGGAGGAACCTGTCTTTTTTATTTTTTTTTTGGTATTGTATTAGCCTTGAAAAGGATTTGGAATAGCATTCAAATGTTGACCTTTTATCACACTTTGAATGTATGTACATTATTACTTATGAATGACTTGTTTCCTTTTCATATTTGTATCATTATATTTTTTTGTATCATTAGCATTGAGAAGGATCTTGAGAAGGAATAGAGAGAAACGTTTGCGCGAGAATTTGTAATTTCATTTAATAATTTGTAATTTATGACTTGATTTACTTGTCTCTTAACATTTATAATAATTTTATGCATTTGACATCAATGCTATATGATTTTCTTGCCTAAATTTTCCTTTTTATTTAGAATTTATATTAATTTATATTAATATTAATATTAATATTTTTTAAATTAATTATTAGTTTTAATTAATTTTATTTTATTTATCCATCAGGTCAAGGACATCTGCAATGAGCTGGACGTGAGATCATTGTGCCATAAAATCCTGCAAAATGTAAGCATGCTTCTTCATGCGGATCGCGGGTCGTTGTTCCTCGTCCAGGGCGAGAAAACCACTGTCAACATATCATCTCCTCACGTCGGGAATCACGAAGTCACCGCGATTGATTCCGACAACGGCGATACCCGACGTAATGATCCGTCCTCCGGTCCGAGAGGCCGATGTCTGGTGTCAAAACTTTTCGACGTTTGCTCGAGATCGACGTTGCTAGAGATGGAAAAAAAGGATGAAATTAAAATTCCCTGGGGCACGGGGATCGTCGGTTACGTCGCTGAAAGCGGAGAACCCGTCAATATACCAGATGCTTATAAGGCGAGGACTTGAAATTACCGTTTATCTATCTTTTCTATCTAATGAGAGCGCGCGCGATGCGTTTTGCATCCGATCGATTAATTATATAGCATTGGGAATTCTCAGTGAATCATCATTTTCAATTTTCGTATCCGGAATGCGGTCGTTTCTGATATAAATAAACATGTACGAATATATACTTTATCTGATGCGTTTTTTATCTCTATCTTGATTATCATTAATTTGCAAGAATAATTTGATATAGATTAATTTGATGTATTATTTAGATTCACTCATGAAGAAAAAGCTTAAACAGAAATATTTCCATTTGCAAAATATATATATGTATATAAGATGTCCCAGACTACCCGTACACCCCTTTTAAAATGAAAATAAATGGCTTTTATCAAAAATCGCGAACAATTCTTAAGTAAATCGGGTACGCTCTATTAAATGGTGATATTTTAAACTTTTGATACCGACCGGAAATACGTCATCCGGATCGGAAGTTGAATTTTTTTAGGGGAACGTGGTACTCCTTATTACAGATTCGAATTGTACGTGAAAGAATAAGAAACTTTTATATCAAACGTTTTTTCGGAAAGTTCCTCTGTCAATCTTAAAATTAACCTTGAAAGTAACGGTGATGAAATAATGAACTTCAATTTTATAATAATGTAACATGCACATAATTAATATAATTTGCAATATGTAAAAAATGATTTAAACATATTTCAGGACTCGAGGTTTAATCGCGAAATTGACGCGTTAACGGGATACCGTACGCGTGCCTTACTGTGCATGCCTATTAAAGATTGCAATAGTGACGTAATTGGCGTAGCACAGGTAATCAACAAGCTCGGCGGCGAAGGACAATTCACCGCGCAGGACGAAAAGATTTTTGCCGGTTATTTACAGTTTTGTGGTATCGGCTTAAGAAACGCGCAGCTTTACGAGAAAAGTCAATTGGAAGTGAAAAGAAATCAAGTAAGCGCCGATTTTGTTAATTAGAATTACATGACGGAAGATATAATTGTCTAATTAACATATTAATATTAGGTTTTATTGGATCTGGCTCGAATGATTTTCGAGGAACAAAGTACGATAGAGCACATGGTTTTTAGAATTCTTACGCATACGCAATCGTTGATTCAATGCCAACGTGTTCAGGTAATTAACATAAACATTTACTGCGAGAATGAGATGCGTTTATGTGAGCAAAAGAGAATGCGTTAGAACGTCATGATTGTTTTCAGGTGTTGCTCGTGCACAAAGCTTCAAAAGGCAGTTTCTCGCGCGTCTTTGACTTTGAAGCAAACGATCTCGCTGTCGAGGATTCTGATTCTCGTACTAGGTGAATCAAGGCATTTATAATTGCCATTCCAACCATTTTTTCGGTAAATTCTACAACTCTTTCTTTTTTACAGTCCATTTGAGAGTAGATTTCCTATTAATGTTGGCATCACGGGTTACGTAGCGACAACCGGTGAAGTGAGTATCTCAATTCACTCTATCTCGACATGACTACGAAAACATTAGTGTTCGAGATGATAAAAAAAGCGATTTATAGACTGTCAACATACCAAACGCTTATGAGGACCCGAGATTCGATCCGTTAGTGGATGACGGTACCGGTTTTAAACACCGTACAATTCTTTGCATGGCCATCAAGAATTCCTCCTGTCAAATAATCGGTGTTATTCAATTGATTAATAAATTCGATGATCTGCCGTTTACAAAGAACGATGAAAATTTCGTCGAAGCGTTCGCGATATTTTGTGGGATGGGAATTCATAATACGCACATGTAAGTGTATCCATGTCCGCATGTATATCTTTTAAATTTACTCTTTGAATATCCTAGTGTATTTATTTGTTACTTAGGTATGAGAAGGCTGTGATAGCAATGGCGAAACAGAGCGTCACTTTGGAAGTATTGAGTTACCATGCATCGGCGTCATTGGAAGACGCGCAGAGATTGAGGGTAGCTATACTTTTAGCTGTTGGCTCCACGATATTTTGTAATTTTTTAAGTTTATTGTTTATTCTTTTGCTTCGACAGAGTTTACGAGTCCCGTCATCGGTACATTTTAAACTGCACGATTTCAAGTTTGACGATATATATATGCAGGACGACGACACTCTTACCGCGTGTCTCAGAATGTTTCTCGATTTGGACTTTGTTGAGCGGTTTCACATCGATTACGATGTACTTTGCCGTTGGTTGTTGAGTGTGAAGAAAAATTATCGAAATGTTACGTATCACAATTGGCGACATGCCTTTAATGTGGCTCAAATGATGTTTGCCATTTTGACAGTAAGCATTTTTTTCTTAAGAATAATTCCGATTCTTATTCACAAAACGAGTATATAATTCTTTCGTCCTCCTAGGCTACACAATGGTGGAAGATCTTTGGTGAAATCGAATGCCTTGCGCTTATCATCGCTTGTTTGTGTCACGATCTTGATCATCGCGGAACAAACAATTCTTTTCAAATAAAGTGTGCACTATTATTTACTTTTGAATCAATTTATATGCTTTGATGTAATCTCTTGTTTACTAAAGTACTATTTCTTCGTTTTTAGAGCTTCCTCGCCATTGGCACAGCTGTACTCGACCTCAACAATGGAACATCATCACTTTGATCAATGTCTGATGATCTTGAGTAGTCAGGGAAATCAAATTCTATCGAATCTTTCGCCGGAAGAATATTCGCGCGTAGTGAAGGTTCTCGAAGATGCGATACTCTCAACCGATTTGGCCGTTTACTTTAGAAAGCGTGGCGCTTTTCTTAGTTTAGCACGCAGTGGCGGTTATAATTGGGCCTACAGTGATCATCGAGATCTTTTGCGCGGAATGCTGATGACAGTTTGTGATCTGGCCGCGATTACTAAACCATGGGAAATCGAGAAAAGAGTAGCCGAACTTGTTAGTAGCGAGTTTTTTGAACAAGGTGATATAGAGAGACGGACGCTTAACATTACACCTATTGTAAGCATCAAAACACGTAATTAGATTTATAAAACTCGAAAACATTCTTTTACGCGACTTTATTTTTCGTATTTTATAGGATATTATGAATCGAGAGAAAGAAGATCAATTACCAATGATGCAAGTCGGCTTTATCAATTCAATCTGTCTTCCTATTTACGAGGTTCGTATAGTTTAACGAATTGATAATCTTAATAAAACATTTTATTTTCCTGTACATTTATTACTCTTTGCGTTTATTTTAATAGGCATTTACCCAGCTATCGGATAAGCTTATGCCGCTCGTTGATGGAGTTAGAATGAATAAACAACATTGGCTGGAAATCGCCGAAAGCAAGGGTCAAGCGGAGAATTGCACAAATCATGATAGGACGCCGTCAACATCGGTATCCGATAACGAGGAGACCAGCGAACAAGCGGACCAATAGTCATTACATTGATGTCATTGATTGCTAGAACGCACAAAAGAAGACATGGCGATCGTCCCTTACTTACGTCAAAAAGAGAAAATATGAGATACAGTTTACAAATCTTATATCTTTTACAAGTCGTCTCCAGTGATAACTGGTTTCCTCAACTACCAGGGCCTGTGTCCTGCGCGCGAAACAGGTGATATATACATTTTATATATACATATATAAAAAACACTCTACACTACTTCATTTCCGTCAATTAGATTTTTACGGATTCCACAGATCTGCTGATCAAATAGACCAAACATTCAACTTTTTCGCGTTGAACTCTTATATCTTGATCAAAATTGTTCTGTATATTTAACATATAAGTTGAAGAAGTTATAAATACGTCGATTGAACGATCTTGCGATATACGATGAGAAAGATCTTTGTTCTCTTTCTCTTTCTCTCTCTCTGTCTTATCTTGTCTCTTAATTTTTCTTCTTCCTTTCGTCTTCGTTCTCGTTCCCACTCCTCTTCATCGCTCATCCATCTACTTCTCTCTATCCGTCTTCCTAGTAAACTAAACCGATCAATCTCCATATATGCTACTATTGTACCTGATTGTATTGTATATATATTTACTACGATAAACTTTTGATGTAGAGAAAGAATGAAGACAGGGAGAGGGAATTGATTCTCTAAAATATATGCTGTACAATAGTTTTCGATGCAAATCGACTCGTCAAAGAACACAACTGAACGGAACGGCGCTTATACGCGCTAATTAGATTATATATTTGTATACCAAAGTGTAAATTTATATATCGAGATCGATTGCGATTACGGTCACACGATAAAATAGTAATTCAAACTTCAAACGGTCTGTGACGTGTGCTAATTAATTAATTAGCAGTTAACTGCGACGGACATGGTACCTGCTTCTCAGTTGCTTTGTCTTTGCTTTTTATTTCCAAGATGGATTCCTCGAATCGATCTCGATCCGAACAGAGCTGTTTTTCGTCTTTGCATGATGCTGTCACATCGTATTAAAAAAAAAATAATAATGAAAAAGCTATATGTTCAGCAAGTGACAGCATCTATATATTTTTTATTGTAGTTGTAAAGTTTAGCATTTTTTCATGTGTGTTTTACTTTCTATATGTAATACTTAATGATATATAATGTATGTTAAATATAATCATCTATTTATGTCTTGATAACAAGAGAAACATGCATATCATTAGGTGTTTGTTGAGAGAGAGGGAGAGAGAAAGAGAAAAAAAACGGGATAGCCCTCATATCCGTTATCATATCATACGTGGGAAACAAAACGCATGTGAATTATAAGGGACTAATCTCGCATTCTCTCGACAAATTGACCTGGCACATATAATCCGCGATTACGAGAAAAAAGACGAAAGACAGTTTAGGCATTTAGTGATCGCATGTGATCGATGTGTGATCGTTTACTTATATAATCATAGCGCGTGACTTCCTCTACATGTTCCTTTAATCATGCAATCTTTAAAGTGATCTATTCGTTTTTTTTTTTTTACTTTAATATATGTATATCTGATTCCAAGCGGTACTTGATTCTGCGTCGTCCCCACAAATAACGATGTGGAATGAAGTGACGAAAATATAAGTGTGATAAAGTTTTCTCGTGTGTGCGTAACTATAGCATGGGTGTATGCTCGACGGAGAATGCAAGAGCGAGCTATTGTACAGTTATTTTTTGTGTAAATTATCGTGAAATATGGCGCACTTCTATCGTTACGATAATAACGATTAGATAGCGCGCGAGTCATATATATTATATATATATTCTACGAACAATATCTAATATATAAAATGAAAATAAATTATGTCAACATATGTAACATCCCTGGGCGTACCCTTCATCACATTTCCTACAGTCCCGCAGCGTCCCATCAATCATAGTAACAGATTGCGTTTCATCGTGTGCGGGCTTATTGTTGACACAGTTTCGCAATAGACCTTGATCGATTGATGCGTGCCAGATGCGCGTGACAGATCGGGCCAAAGCATATGATATGCTCGCTTCAAAATTAACGTTTGGTCTTTACAATCTTCTTCACAATTTTATTTCCATTCCTTATTACAATTCTCGCATCGCAATAGAATGCGAACCAGCTTCTTTTTCATTTGCAGAAGACTATTATTCCAAGATTCCTACGGAATAAACTTGAATAGGAAGATATTGTCACTGTTTTTGCGCAATTTCATAACTCCGTATGACGGATAAAACGACATCGTTACCGAGGCTGACGAGTTTATCATAGGCTTGCTCGTGGGTGAGTTGACTTATTGGCTCCCCGTTCAATTTAACAATCACATCGCCCGCTTGCAGGCCAGCTGTATGAGCTATACCCCCGATTGATACCTTGTCGAAAAAACATTAACAATAATTTAACGATAACGAGAATCACGCAGAAATGTTAAAACATGATATCTTACCCTGACGATGGTTAAGGGAAATGTAAAGTCCACGCCTCCGGAGAGTCGAAAACCCCACGGTTGACCGTTTCTTCGCGACAATTTGAGGTCTGTAGCGATCGCCATGGTGAAGTATCAAAATTCGTCTTACCTGAAGGTAGATTAGCACATTTTTAATCATTCGCAAATGCGTTTAATAGGTGACGTAATCACAGAGACGAGTAAATCCTCGTGTTACGCGCCTTTTCGAATAGCAGGCACACAGTTTCTTTTTTACTCATTCACCACGACACGATCCACGTGCTACTCGAATTGAAATAAAAATCGTATTTAGATTCTAGTGTATCTAGTCTAGATTCAAGTTCGAGCGACGATCGAAATTCGCTGACTGACTTTTCCTCAACCTTTACGTGGCGCGTCGCGCATTCGAATTTCGTTCGATCCTAATGTTGCGCATGCGTCGCACATATTATTGCAGGGTGTGCTCGAAAACCCTACCAGTCAAGGGAACATTTAATTGACCAATCAAGAGCGAAGATTTTCACGTCCCGATTGGTCAATTCAAAACTACTTTATCCCACGAATAGAATTTTCGAACGCATCCCTAACGCGATTGCGCATGCGCGAGATGCGCGCCTCGAGTTTGCGCGCGACACGCGCCGGACGAGCGGCCCGAGGAAGCTGCAAAACAATCATCGAGAAGGAGATTATCGAATCATCGCTACTCATTAAGGTATTAGCTCGGAAATTGCCGCGAGAAAGTAGCGCGATTAAAGCGCAAATGCCCCCCGAGGCGCTTTATCCGAGGAATTTAATCCGGTTTTTCGCGCCGATATTGGAGCGAAAATGACATTTGATTCCGCGCACGCTCCAACGACGACCCCGGTCCCTGGTCTCGGCAGGAGACAGCTGAGTCCTCGCCGAGTCACGAATGAGCCTCCGGAGAGGGAGCCTCGTTCCCTCCGTGAAACCTTGTGCACCTTTGCCGGCACTCATCGTTAATAAATCGCTAATAAATCGCGCGTCGCTCCCTTCGGTTGGCTGGTAATCGTCTTCTCGCGGACACGTTGGACGTCTCCCGCACGCATTCACGCGGGAAACGAACGGAGTGTTAAATGTCGAGGGTAAGTGCGCGATTATTCACTGTCCGCTGGACCGCAACCGTGGTATTTCGAGACGACGAGTTCTCGATCCCGCGCTCTATCACTTTGTCACTCGCTGTCTATCATCAATTTATAAGCTACGTTATAATCCATCCGTTATGTAATACGCAGGAATGTCAATTTGTTTGATTTTTTTGAAGATAAATTAGAGGATATCGCGAGACATCTCGACGTGTGAATTTTTCGCGCGACATTTCGTCAATTTTCACCGCACTTGATCTCAATCTTGTATAATTTAACAACGCGATAAAAAATTTTGCTTCGTTCATTTATACGAATGACAAGTATTTTCGAATCGTTATTTCGTATCTTAAAACGAGTATACGTCAAAATATTGAAAACTCGTCAATCTTTCGAAGAAGGTGGCAATCGACTGTGATAAAAATCGCAAATGCACACATGAGCGCATGTACAGTAATTTGTCATAATACTTTACAACGTTTCAGTGATTGGTAAGAGTGTCATGGTTCTGGTGAATGGAAATATTCATCGCACACAAGTAGCCTCGACTTGCGTACGGATACGCTTCCGTCCAACCTTCGCGCGTAAGTTTTTAATCACCTCATGCAATTATATCTTACGCAATCAAGATTCACATATAAGGGTATTATTCCCGCGTAAAGTGGGGGAGGAATTTATCTAAAGCTCTAGGAAGAGAAAAATATAATCGTGCAAGTTATGACGCTAGACTCTAGTCTATCGATACGCGCGTTTAGTTCGCGTATCGTATAAAATAAAGTTGAGGGGAGAGAGGGGAAAGGTTGAGGGAGATAGATAGATAGAGAGAGGGAGAGAGAGAGAGATGCGCCGCGAAAGAAGAGATAGCGAGGACACCTCGAGGAGGGGAGAGGACGCGAGAGTTCTGGGGGTGGCTGTGTCGTGCCGGTGGCTGCATCGATCGTCTCTACTACTCGCTATAGCGGCCGTTTTCTACGGACGCGGACAATGCGACCTCGCCGCGCCAGAAAAATACCGTAAATCGCGATAGCGACTCGTCGCTTCGCCGCGCGAAGGCCACCGTCCAGAATCGGTGCGAATCGGCCTGACACGTGGACACCTTTGGACTTCGTATCGACTCGTCGCGCTATCGATTTCGAGACGAAAATTGAAAGGGGACCCTCGCCGACTCGCACCCGAGCGTGACAGTTCGCGCCTGTTTTTCTTTTCCCAATCGTTCCCTTTTTCCATCGATTCGACGTCGCGCTATTTTTTGTCTCGCTTACGTATTTTTCAAAACCGACGTCGATTATTTCGCAACGATAAATACAATTGTTCTCTCTCTCTCTCTTTCTCAACTTTTATACGCGTCTTATTATCCCAGCCAATCACGCGAATCATGCAGCTGGGTATGCGAGCGCGAACGATACTACGAGGGGGTTGTTGAGGTTTATTCAAGGTTGAGCGAACCTCACGTGTCGCTTGTCAAAGGCCAGGTAAGTCGCTGGAAAAAAAAATGGACTCGCCTATATATCCCGGGTATTCTATTTTGCAACACGTCGGAAACGAGACACGAAATCGAGCGATAGCAGGCCGATAGCCGATGCTAGTAATATCCTCGACTCCGCCTCGCGCGTTCGCTCGGTTTAAAATAGCGGAGTACACGCTCGCGAATAACGGGGAAATATCTTACGATCTTATCGAGCGGCTAACGCGATGATTATAATCGCGTGAATTCATCAGCGTAATCGGTTGTTCGCACTTGGCTCTGGGGGAGATGGGACGTATCGCATTGTATAATTTGTTTTGTGTTCGACGTAGACGCGAGACCCTCCGACGAGTCTCCGATGGAGGATCGAGAGGGGTGAATCGGAGGCGGAAATATGCCCGGGCGATCACCGGCGAGGGCGTGCGAGCGGCCCATTGCGAGCGCGGGCCGCAAGCTCGCCGCTACTTGAATGTCACCGCCGGAGGTGAGATTACCACGGTAAAGTAAGTTGTAAAGTATTTTGCGATCGGTCTCTCGTGAGAGACTCTGAAAGTTTCTTTCGCTCATCCAATTCCGTATCGATGGAGTCTCGCAAAGTTTGTTACAAGTATAGCACATGCAACACTTGTCACTTGTCAATTCATTAATTAATTTGCTCGTCAATAGGATTTCTCTTTTTATCCTCGAGAGAATTAACGTAATTTCGCGTTCCTTTTCACGTGGATGATTCTCCTGTATTTTTACTACCGTCTATTCCGTGGTGTGTGTTTAATAATTTTGATATAAAAATAAAATATTCTTCCTTTTATCTATCGATTCTTTCTCGAACCTTGTGTTGTGTTTTCTTTTAATAGAACATGTACTTGCAAAGCGGTTATTTATTATTCACATCTATTCGCAATTGTTTTGCTTATTATGAAAAATAAAAGACTGGTTAATTTTTTGATAATAATTCTTTTTGTACAAGGTATAAAAGAGAGAGAGAGAGAGACAGAAATAATGAAAATCTTGCCAAATTATCTTGCCTACCTACTTTCTCTCGCGGTAAACTTTACTTTCGAATAAATCAAACATCTCGGAGATTTCGTTTCGTTACAAGAACAAATGACCAGGGCGCGGGATGGGCGAATCCTGGCTCTCGATCTTACTCGCTGCCACGCTGACGACGATGACGATGACAGCGGTAACGAAAGCCAATTCATTTTCGACACCGTCGACGACCGCTCGTGACGATACCATCGATTCCAAACGGGTTTGTCTTCATCAATCTTAATTTCTTACAATCTTGGTAATTTTTCAAGTTCTTTTTTGACATTGTATTATTTTTTTATTCTTAAAGCCCACCGACGAAGCGCTGGACGTGATAGAAGCGGCATCGACGGGTTCTCTGGGCGAGGTGTGCGTCAACTCGGCGGGATTTAAATCACTACCAGCTGATGTCGTTTTAGACTCGAGACGTTACGACACGGCGCGTCAGAAGACCGATATGACCGCGAGAATCCTTCAAAATTTCAGGGTTGCTGAGGCGATACAACGTAAGTTGGAACCATCATGTATAAAGAAGACTAATTTTAAAAAATAATGTTTGCATTCTTAAAAAGATATTTGACATGTATATAACTAATATATACATTTGATGGCAGTTGTAACTAAATGTTAAAAAAAAATCTTGCTAAATGTTAAAAAATCTTACTCACATTCGACTATCTATCGATATCGGTAAAGCCTTATATATCTAGCAAAGCAATATAATCTTTAAACGTTAAGAGATAAGAAAAGAAGATGAGGAATCTAATGAAATATATGTATGTATGTTTGATGGAAAGAGTAAAATTAGAATCGTTTCTATAAATGAATCGGAATTAGTGCCTGATTCCCAATCTATATTTTCTATCTGGCATTCAATTGGCATCTACGACACCTGTTGCATACGTAGCGAGTAACGTGCGCATTGAGAGTCAATCGTCGAATACGGTGATGAGTACTCACGATAAATAACGGATTCACGTAGCTCTTTTAGATGCCCTGACCAAGTCGCTGCTCATGTCGGTGAACGAGGCGCTAGAGGCGAGGATGATCGCGCTAAACGCCTCTACTGGTACAGTGATTACCGCGGTATGGCTGAAGCGCAGTCCTGGAAGCGTAGGCGAGCCATCCAAGGTCGAGAGTCACGCGCTTCAACCTGGATCACAGCCGGATCCGAATTTACCGTGGTTCGAGAATGCAGGCAGCAGTGCCGGATTAAGGTTCGCCGCGTCGACTATTCGCATCTTTGGCAATTTTACTTGTCTACAGAAGCCAAACTTTCTTCTTGCAAAATTTCTTCTTATAAAAAGATTTTTCCGATTTTTTTACATATTTTTTTTCGCATAGAATCATTTCCTTTTTGTATCCTTTTTATATAATAATGAGCCACGTTATATTTATTCAAAGAAATGTTAGTACGCACGCACGCACACGCACCTTTATGCACCTCTGTTTCGCACCCTGTTGTTCATGTTTCACACGTTGCCTTTCTCTTCTAGTAATGTCTCGTTTATCGGAGTGAACTGTAGAAACTCTCTATGAGAAAAAGATCAATTTCATTTAAATTAAAAACAAGAATTGTGCGAATGATTAGTGCTGTATGTTTTTTTTTCATTTTTAAAATTGTATAAAGAAGCTATCTTAAAAGAGAATGTTATAATTGTCATTTGCACATAATTGAATTTACTTACATATTTTCTTTAGAAAATATCCTGATAATGGTGGATAGATCCATATATTCGAGACGATTCGTCGAAAGAGAATTGCGCGCTGGACTTGTACAGGTGCTCCACGATCATTCATCATCCTTCATCATCCCGTACGAGCGTCAAGTCATAGAAACTCGATATTCGCGTACGATATGTAAACGATGATTTTTCGAAAGCTTAGCCTTCGTATCATAATGATTAATGGCAAATAACAATAGTCGGGATGACCGTGAAGTGCCGGGAATATGACTCGTTGCACGAAACACACGTGTTCACCAAAAGATATATCGAAGTTTCTACGGCGGCTTGTGGCGTTTGCGTGTGATCCCAGGTCACCGAAATTCATGCAGTCACCGCCGATTGAATCCTACAGGGGTTGGTGGACCATCCCGTACTTCTCTTGCAAGTCTCGCCGCTGGCTCATCTCATACAGCGTCCAGGTACAATTGCCGGATATTCCCTGGTTAGTATGACAGCTTACTTGGTGATTTTAAGTATTTAAATTCAAATTTAAGTAAGAATTTATTTTTAAGTAAGAAAATAAGTAAGTTAACTAGTACTTGTAGTAGTAATCCGTGTTGTAATTGACATTTCATTGAAGGATACGAGAATTCATCAGCATAGATATTGATATAAGCGGATTGGAGGTCAATCAATGTTGGACGCCGCAAAATCGCAATAGTAATCAAATTGCCTCCTTCTGGGGCACACATAAGTGTCATGGTGAAACTACGGAAGTAAATATTAAATATTTTTTCTTTGCGATATTTGCATAAACAAGAAAGCAATATTCTCTTATTTTTTCATATTTTAGTGTGTGTACCAAAGTCCTGGCAATCGAGTAAACGAGGGCGCTGGTTGGGCGAAGGGTGCGTACATGTGTAAATGTCGGCAAGGTTTTTACAGCACCAGCCATCATCGGGACGGTTTCGATGGAATTCTTGTGGAAGGTCAGGATTAATTATTATTTGCTTGTACATGATAATCTTTTCCTCTACTCTTCGCATACGTATTTGTTATAGCCGCGTGGAAGGAAATGAGAGAGAATAAGAGCAACTTCTTCGACAAGGCATTCCAATGTCTGCGCTGTGCACCGGGATGCGCCAGATGCAAGGGCCCCGAACCTTGCCTAGCAACGTACAATTGGCCCTTTAGGTATTTCTTTTATATTGCGTTTTCTTTTATCGCTCGATATCTTATTTCATTCATGTCTTATCACTTTTCTAGAATCACGCTGTTAGCTGTTTCAATTTTTTGCGCGTTTGGCACCATCGTCCTGGTAGCGTACATGTATCAGCATCGCAAACTGAAAGTATTCAAGGTTGCTTCGCCGATATTTTTATCCATCACGCTCTTGGGCTGTGCTTTGATGTATCTCGAAGTAAGTGGAGAGAGACGTTCCTTACATTCTCCTTTAATAAAAATTCCGTCGAGTATTAATTTGAATAATATACCTTGCAGATGGCCGCCATATTCCCGGTCCTCGACATGTATTCGTGCATTGCCACAAAGTGGACGAGACATATGGGATTTTGCGTCTCGTATACGGCGCTGTTAATGAAAACCTGGCGGTAAATAATTATGATTAGCGTATTATCACACAGAATTGAAGCACTGAGAATACAAATGAATCGAGTCACATGATATTAATTTCAGAGACAAAAGCTATTATATTATAAGCGAGAAAGTATATAAAATAAAACGCTTTTAAAACTCAAAACATAATAATCTTTTTTTTTTTTCAAGAAAGATGGATAGAAAGTATTGCTTTTTAGCAAATTTACCGCAGTTGTAGGCTTGATTTGCTTGTATTTTTAGCGCTTCAATTTTATTTTATGTAAACTCGCAGTAGCACATTTATACCTGACATTTTGTAGGGTTTCGCTCACGTATCGAGTGAAGAGTGCTCATAAAGTTAAATTGACAGACAAGCAGCTTTTACAATGGATGGTGCCTATACTATTAGTAATGTTGATTTTTCTTGGTACATGGACTGTCAGTTCGCCGCCTTATGCGGAAGTAATCACGGATAATCACGACTTAAAGTTTTATCAGTGTTCGTACAATTGGTGGGATCACAGTCTGGCTATCGGTAAATATCAAAAAGAAAGAAAGAACAATGATGGCGACATAAAATATCAATAATAGATTAAGTCGAATTTAATTGTTTGATTTCTTAATAACAGGTGAAATTCTCTTTCTTGCCTGGGGCATAAAGGTATGTTACAACGTGCGAAATGCGGAGAGTCTATTTAACGAGGCCCGTTTGATAAGTTACGCCATTTACAATATAGCCGCGGTGAACATAACCATGATTGCCATTCAGTACGTAATCATATGATATAATACATGTATATTATTACATATGCACACGAGTTTCTAGAAAATATATATATCATGTTAAATGACGTTTTTCTGCAGCCTCTTCATATTTCCTCGGGCCGGGCCGGATATCAAATATCTGCTTGGCTTCCTGCGGACTCAACTTTCAACATCAACTACGGTCTTTCTCGTATTCGGTCCTAAAGTAAGATGTGACAAAAGGATGAAATTAATAATTGTAGTGATAAAATGGAAAAGTTTGTAGGTCTATTTAAGCCGTATTACACTAATGTAATTTTGTAATAATTGTCGTACATTTATCGATACGCTTGATCAATTTTTTAAATATCTATTTCGTTTTTTTTAAGTATATAACGATAAATGGCATCGTAGTATCATATATTTTTAATTCTTGTTTAAGGTAATCAGAGTATTGCGAGGTCAGGGAGATCAATGGGATAGTCGAGCTAGAGCGCGAGGCGTCACCGCAAGCTTTTCTTTGAACGGGATCGGCTTGGTGCCGGAGGAGACGACAGATTTGTATCAAGAAAATGAAGAGCTTAAGGTTTATAATTATATAACTCGTCATCTTTATATCTGTACTACGATGTAAAGCGAATAGAAACACTGGAGCAATTTTTCACTTATCCTAAATTCTATGCTTAGGAGGAGATTCAAAAATTGGCTGCGCAAATTGAATTCATGAAGATCGTGCATATGGAGGTGCACAACAGGCACATCAAGCCAAAGATGGGCGGTTACTTTAGCACGCATGGTCACGGTCACGGGCATCCATCCACCGGCCAGAGTCCCATCGCCAAGAGTTCGACGGCCAGTTTTATTCTCAAAGTATGTATCTAAATCGTCCTATCAAATTTCACTTCGATTAATCTTAGTATACGTAGCATTTTTGAAAATTCAACGACATAAAAATTGTCGTCACTTTTTCTCTGAAATCTGACATGATTTTTCTTTGTGGATTTTTTGAACACTGCGTAAATACGCGTGATATACTAAGATTAATGCGAAAGTAACTTTCATATCGATTCGTATTCTCGCATCCATGCAAGTCCGTTGTAAGAGCGTTTTGGGAAATAAATTGGAGTAATTTATTGAGCAGACGGCCGTGGAGCGAGGTGCAACGGCAGCCGCAGCCGCGGCCGTCGAGGATTCAACCTTCCCGTCCGGAAGTCTACACAGAGCGCGAAGGATGGAAATGTTGAGGGAAAGGAAAGCGGAAAGGGAGAGAGAGCGCGAGAAAGAGCGAAACAAGGACAAAGAGCAGGAGAGACCACAGCAGGAGAAAGGGCGAGAATCGAGTGGCGAGAAGGTTTGACTAGTGATCAATAGCGACGAGGTAAATAGCTCATCTCTTATTTAGTCGTGTATTCGGTAAGAAAATTTTCGCTCTCTAAGCTCTGTAACTCTATAGCTCTTTAGCTCTTTCTTTTTTACTCTACAACTACATAGCTTATAGAGATACAGTGTTATAGAGCATTTTTACAGAATAGATCCATTAATCTTGTCGCATTTTCAATAATCTTCCCGCCTAAGCCTTTCTTCTTCTATCATAATTTTTTTTCTACATCCACAGGTATGGTTGTGACGAAGACAGTGTTCCGATGAAAGCGAGAAAAAGAGAAGAATCTTATATCCGAGGAGAAGAAGGAGGAAGAAAAAATTGGAGAAATTCAGGTTGTATCCTCTAATGGACAGGAGACTGCCCGTATTTGTATAAAGCGCTATACATATAATCAAAACCATCGCGTTCACTGTCTTCGCGCCATTGATAGTGATATCTTGGTAATTATTAGATGTACGATATATATCTTGAAATTATAAAAAAAATCTCTATCGAATTGAACGCACGAAAAAGTGAAAGGCGACGGCGATGGCATTTCATGTTCCTATCCGTTTGCAGTTATGTTGACAAGAACATGACTATTGTTATATATTAAATTTCGATAACATTTTTTCTGATATAAAAAGCACTCTTAATGCATACAATGGACGCCACCAATGCGACTAATTAAGTAAAGTAAAACAAATTGTTATTTATAAAGAACAAATGTATTTTGTTAAGAAATTAAGAGGAGCAAACGAGAGACAATTGTAATGATTGAGCTGTCACAAATGCACAAAGGAATGCACAGGCGAATCGTCGTCGCTTTAATGATACAATTTCGCTTTCCGCAAGTGTGATATGTGTCGCTTCGTCGCGAGCATTCGATAGAATTGTAAAAAACGCGCGTGTGTGTCCTTAAGTTTCCCTTATTGAAATCGTTTACGTCCATGTGCGGTGACGCGCGCGCTTTTG